CTGCCAATACTTTATCAGCTGCCGTCAACACCTGCTTAACACTTTATCAGCTGTCGTCAACACCTGCCAACACTTATCAGCTGCCATCAACACCTGCCAACACTTATCAGCTGTCAACATTCGCCAACATTTATCAGCTGCCGTCAACACCTGCCAACACTTATCAGCTGCCGTCAACACCTGCCAACACTTATCAGCTCCCATCAAAACCTGCCAACACTTATCAGCTGCCGTCAACACCTGCCAACACTTATCAGCTGCCGTCAACACCTGCCAACACTTATCAGCTGCCGTCAACACCTGCCAACACTTATCAGCTCCTGTCAACACCTGCCAACACTTATCAGCTGCCGTCAACACCTGCCAACACTTATCAGCTGCCGTCAACACCTGCCAACACTTATCAGCTGCCGTCAACACCTGCCAACACTTATCAGCTCCCATCAAAACCTGCCAACACTTATCAGCTGCCGTCAACACCTGCCAACACTTATCAGCTGCCGTCAACACCTGCCAACACTTATCAGCTGCCGTCAACACCTGCCAACACTTATCAGCTCCTGTCAACACCTGCCAACACTTATCAGCTCCCGTCAACACCTGCCAACACTTATCAGCTCCTGTCAACACCTGCCAGTACTCCTATCAGGTACCGTCACCACCTGCCAACACTTATCAGCTGTCGTCAACACCTGCCAACACTTATCACATGCCGTCAACACCTGCCAACACTTATCGCGCCGCTGCCAACACCTGCCAACACTTATCAGCGCCGTCAACACCTGCCAACACTTATCAGCTGTCGTCAACACCCGCTCACCACTTATCACCTGGCCAACATCTGCCAACACTTATCAGCTGCCGTCAACACTCTGCCAATACTTATCAGCTGTCGTCAACACCTGCCAACACTTATCAGCTCCTGTCAACACCTGCCAACACTTATCAGCTGTCGTCAACACCTGCCAACACTTATCAGCTCCCGTCAACACCTGCCAACACTTATCAGCTCCCGTCAACACCTGCCAACACTTATCAGCTGCCGTCAACACCTGCCAACACTTATCAGATGCCGTTAACACCTGCCAACACTTATCAGCTGCCGTCAAAACCTGCCAACACTTATCAGCTGTCGTCAACACCTGCCAACACTTATCAGCTGTCGTCAACACCTGCCAACACTTATCAGATGCCGTCAACACCTGCCAACACTTATCAGCTGCCGTCAACACCTGCCAACACTTATCAGCTGTCGTCAACACTCCTGCCACCACTTATCAGCTGTCGTCAACACCTGCCACCTTATCAGATGCCGTCAACACCTGCCAACACCTCTATCAGCTGCCGTCAACACCTGCCAACACTTATCAGCTGCCGTCAACACCTGCCAACACTTAACAGCTTTCGCTGTCGTCAACACCTGCCAACACTTATCAGCTCCCGTCAACACCTGCCAACACTTAACAGCTGTCGTCAACACCTGCCAACACTTATCAGATGCCGTCAACACCTGCCAACACTTATCAGATGCCGTTAACACCTGCCAACACTTATCAGCTGCCGTCAACACCTGCCAACACTTATCAGCTGTCGTCAACACCTGCCAACACTTATCAGATGCCGTCAACACCTTCCAACATCAGTTAACGTGAATCAAATCCTATTAACATTTACTGAAACTATTAATATCTCTTAATACTTGCCAACACTTGTCCACATGTTACCGGCAACACACGTGGCTGCCCCAGACTCGGGGTATGGGATGCCCAGTAGGGTGTGTCATAGGAGGGAAGATCAGCTAAAACTAATGGCCCATCACTTTTTTGGTAGATTTTAGTATATATAAACAGAAAATAATTTCAGTATCAATATTTTGCAACCTTTTGCTAGGTAAATTTTAGCGTGAAATTTATCGAAAATCTAACGTACAGCTGCATTAGTGCATTACAATTAAATAGTGAACATTGCTTTCTGACTTCATTCTTTAACAACCCAACTAACAATATTTTTTTCTGTTTCAGATTCTGATGCATTTATAAGTTGATAATATTTGCGATGGCTGCTTGTGTCAGACGAGGAACCAAAAATCCAGCCATCTCAGTCACTTTTATCTTGGGTCTGAGAGAGCTCCTGAAGTCGGAGTTGGCTTTACATTGAGATGCTGAGATACGGTGTTTTAATCAGGCAAATCAGTGAAAAAGAACCAAAGAACTTACACAAACAAAGAGACATTGCCAGTGATATGACCAAAGCCTGGCACAGTACACCTGGCTAACGCTCAGTTCAAGCCTCCAGTCATAACAAGTCGAAGAAGATTAGTGAGAGACTGCTAGCCAGTTGGGAAAGGCAAGAGATATCTCTCTTGGGAGAGGAAACTTGTAGTTAAGACAGCTTAGCAACGGACTCCAGCTTATTTGACACATAATTATTTGCAGTGCCCAATTGTTCTCTCTGTCCTGAGTTTGGATGTGCATCGCATTGTAAACTGAGTCTAACATCTCCTGTATTTGCAAGCGTGAACTGAAGATTCCTGTGATCGAACTGGCATTTGTCAAAGCACAGAGAGAGAAGACTGACAGTATAGGGGCTCTCATGATTTCTAGCCAAGATATTCTGGAGTCCAAGAGACAGGAGGCTGCCACAGAGAGACAGAAGAAGAGAAGAGTTGCCGAGGAAAAGAGACTTGAGAAGGCCCAGGGTGAGGTAAAAAAGGCCGATGATTGGAGTCAAGCTGATTCAGAGTTTAATGACTTCCCCATGGCTGATCCGAGTGCTGACCAAGAGAATGGTGACTTTGTCCCTAACCCAGAAAATAATGATCCCAAACCTTCCAGGCATAAGATTCGAAATAGGAAAGATATCCCGAGCATAGCTCTGGCCAGCATGCGACACCACACTGGTCTCAGAGAAACTGCAGAGATAGCAACAGCTGCTCGAATTGACGGTGGTTTGATAACACCTGAATGATGTTCAATTTTGGTGATAGATCATAACAAAGTAAGTATATCAGAGAAACTTGGTTGCAACCTAGAAGAGAGCTTGATAAAGATAATATAAAAATGGAATCAATTATTTGCCTTTGACAGGCACACTAGTGTTCTATGAAAGCTGAAGATCTGAGACAAGTTGTTCCCTGCCATGGTGAAGAGTACTACTCCTGCTGCAGTGAACCAGGAGGGAAGTATTTGTGGCATTTCACTTCAGAGAAAGATGACATCAGGAAACCAGCTGAGATAGTGGCAGATAACATTGTGAACTGGCTCAGAGAGAGGAACGTAGACCAGACCCTGCAGGCCATTGGAGGGGACAGCACCAACACGAACACAGGGTGGCAAGGGGGGTCATACAGTGGATAGAGCGGAAGATTGGGAGGAAGCTGGTCTGGATTGTTTGTGACCTCCACACCAACGAGTTGCCACTCAGACATCTGATCCAGGAGCTGGATGGCAAGACTCTTTCAAACAACAGATGGTCTGGTCCTCTTGGCAAGATGCTGGACTCTGCCACTGAGTTAGAAATAAATCCGAGCTTTGAAAAATCACAGTTGGCCCTCCACTCGTTGAGCTTGCAATATTACTGTCATTGACGACCTGAGTACTGACCAGTACTCATGGTTGACATGATTTGCAGCCATCAAAACTGGGGTCATGCCTGATAGACTTGCTTACCTGCAGATAGGTCCAGTCTCACATTCTAGGTGGCTCACAACGGCTCTCAGGTTCTGCAGAATTTGGGTCGCTCATCATAAACTGAAAGGGAACCAGTTTCACAACCTGAGACTTATTGTCCAATTCATCGTGAGTGTCTACTTGCCAAATTGGTTCAACACCAAGGTCAAGTCATCGTTCTCCGAAGGTCCGAGGCATGTTCTCTTCCAGCTTGAGCCCCTGAGGAGTCAGCCAAGGAAGGTTGTTCAGATTGTGGAGCAGACTGTGAGGAGATCTTCCTGGTATGCTCATCCCGAGGCAGTTCTGCAGACAATGCTCTGCAGTAAGGATGAGGAGGAGAAAAGAGTGGCTGTCAAAAAGATCTTGGATATGAGACTTATGAGAGGATCTGGGCATGGCGAATCAGTTGGTGACGATTCCTTCAGGGTCAGGAAGACTCCTGAAGTCAATCTAGGTGCCAAGACCCTCACTGATCTCATAGATCTGGATAACATCCAGGCTGGCAGTGAGACCCCTCTTACCTGCAGCCTCACCAATGTTCAAGTCAGAGCTTCTCTGGACAACCCCATGCATGTCCCTGCCTGGCCTCGCACACTCCAGAGTATAGAGCGTTGTGTACAGCAAGTGAGCGAGGCCAGCAGTCACGTGTACAGCCAGGAGAGGAGGGAAGGCTACATCCGAGCTCAGGTGGTCAGCAGGGAGGTGATGAGTAGAAACAGAAGCAAGAAAGATATGTTCTCTATGGTGTGCAGCAACACCGGGTCGTAGTAATAAAACCGGTTTTTGTATTTGATGATTTTGTTTTCTAAAGGAATATTAAATTTAATAAATGTGTCAAGATCATTCGTTTCACTATTCTGGATCATTTTCATCCTAATAAATTAACCTGATACATTTACTTTACTTTAAATAAGCTATTTAGTGGTGTTGGTAAAAGGGTGGGAATATTGAATTTTCATAAGATTTCAAGTTAAAATTTACCTAGCAAAAAATAAAAACTTTCCAAATCTGAAGATATCACATGATTCTGCACATAGAACTACATCATTAATACCATGGGCCGATTTTTCAAATAAAAAAAAAAAATTCGCCTCCGTATGACACACCCTAATGCTCATTAGCCCCGTGCATCATCGTCGTCTCCCCGCCCACTATCACACCCTTCCTCACAACCTCACCCTCACCCTAACCCCCTCACACCCTCTCCCTTACCCCTTCACACCCTCTCCCTTACCCCCTCACACCCTCACCCTAACCCCCTCATACCCTCTCCCTTACCCACTCACACCCTCTCCCTTACCCCCTCACACCCTCACCCTCAAACACCCTCACCCTTGGAGGGCCCTTGAAGCGCCGCGGTCCCTGGGAGAGCTCCTGGGGGTGTTGGTGCCCCTGGGATGGCCCATTGGGACGCCAAAGCCCCAGAAATGGCCCCTGGGGTCGCCGACGCCCCTGGGAGGACCCCAGGGGTAACCGTTGCCCCTAGGAAGGCCCGTGGGGTCGCCGCTGCCCCTGGGAGGGACCCTGGGTCCGCCGCCGTTCCTTGAACGCCCTTTGGGGCGCCACCTCCCTTGGGAAGGGCCCTCGGAGGGCTCCTAGGGGAACCGACACCCCTGGGAGGGCCCCAGGGATCTCTTTCCTTGTAGAGCCCCTGGGGGCAGTTGCTTTTACACTATTTAGAACAATGGGAGATATGACGTTAAATAAATACACTACCCATTACATTCCCAGTATCATCTCACCATGAACAATGTAAAGGAGAATAAATATCCAACAGGAAAACATAAGTTGGGGTGTTGTGCTGACTGACTGCTCTGTTCTCCTATTGGCTGTTGGTTGGCGGATTTTTATTTTAGTTCACCAATCACAGTTAAGTAAAGAATTGCTGGAAGTATGCAATATGTACGACTCCACGACCAAGCAAGCTATAGGGCTTCTAGAGGGGTGCCTCTGGTAGGGCCCCTGGAGGCTCACCCGCTAATGGGAGGGCCCTTGAGACCACCGCCGTCCCTGCGAGAGCCCCTGGGGTCTCAGCCGCACCTGAAAAGGCTCCTAAGAGAGCCCCTGGGATCGCCGTCACCCCTGAGGGGGCCCCTGAGAGCACCATCGCCCTTGGGAGGGCCGCTGGGTCCACTGCCGCCTCTGGGTGGGCTCCTCCTGACGCCGACACCCCTGGGTGGGCCCCAGGGGGCATTGTCCCTATAGAGTCCCTGGGAGCAGTTGGTTTTGCACTGTTTAGAACAATGGGAGATATGACGTTAAATAAATACACTACCCATCACATTCCCAGTATCATCTCACCATGAACAATGTAAAGGAGAATAAATATCCAACAGGAAAACATAAGTTGGGGTGTTGTGCTGACTGACTGCTCTGTTCTCCTATTGGCTGATATTTTGCGGATTTACATTTTAGTCCACCAATCACAGTTAAGTAAAGGATTGCTGGAAGTATGCAATATGTACGACTCCACGACCAAGCAAGCTATAGGGCTTCTAGAGGGGCGCCTCCCCGCCCCTGGGAGGGCCAGCAGAGCCACTGCCTCACTGCCTACACAGAGACTACAAAGTCTCACCGCACCTGAGGAGGCTAGGAGAGCCCTGGGATCTTGTCACTAAGGGGCCTAGAGGCACCGCCAGCCCCTTGGAGAGTGCTGTCCTCGTCACCTGGGTGTCCTTTGGATGTAGCTTACCTGGGAGGAGTCCCTCAGGTTACCAAACACACCTAGGAGGCCCTAGGAAATGTGTCCCTTAAGTCCAGAGACAGTCGTTCTCTTTTCTTTAGAACAATGAATGCATCCGTGAATACACTGCCCATTACATTTCAGTATCATCTCAACGCAAGACAATATAAAGGAGAATAAATATCAACAGGAAAACGTAAGTTGGGGTGTTGTGCTGACTGACTGCTCTGTTCTCCTATTGGCTGTTGGTTGGCGGATTTTTATTTTAGTCCACCAATCACAGTTAAGTAAAGAATTGCTGGAAGTATGCAATATGTATTTCACCATGACCAAGCAAGCTATAGGGCTCCTGGAGGGGCGCCTCCCCCGCCCCTGGGACGGCCCTTGAGACCGCCTCTGTCCCTGCGAGGGCCCATGGGGTCTCTAGCGCACCTGAGAGGGCCCCTAGGAGAGCCCCGGGGATCGCCGTCACCCCTGAGAGGGCCCCTGAGAGCACCGCCGGCCCTTGGAGGGTCGCTCTGTCCGCCGTCACCCCTGGGTGGGCTCCTTTGGACGCCGACACAACTGGGAGGGTCCCTCAGGTTACCGACACCCCTGGGAGGGCCCTAGAGAGTATTGTCCCCTTAGAGTCCCTGGGGGTAGTCGTTTCTGCACTATTTAGAACAATGGGAGATATGACGTTAAATAGATACACTGCCCATTACATTTCCAGTATCATCTTAACATGAACAATGTAAAGGAGAATAAATATCCAACAGGAAAACATAAGTTGGGGTGTTGTGCTGACTGACTGCTCTGTTCTCCTATTGGCTGTTGGTTGGCCGATTTTTATTTTAGTTCACCAATCACAGTTAAGTAAAGAATTGCTGGAAGTATGCAATAGGTACGACTCCACGACCAAGCAAGCTATAGGGCTTCTAGAGGGGCGCCTCTGGTAGGGCCCCTGGAGGCTCACCTGCTAATGGGAGGGCCCTTGAGACCGCCGCTGCCCCTGTGAGAGCCTTTGGGGTCTCAGCCGCACCTGAAAAGGCCCCTAGGAGAGCCCCTGGGATCGCCGTCACCCCTGAGAGGGCCCCTGAGAGCACCATCGCAACTGGGAGGGCCGCTGGGTCCGCCGCCGCCCCTGGGTGGGGTCCTATTGACGCCGACACCCCTGGGTGGGCCCCAGGGGGCATTGTCCCTATAGAGTCACTGGGAGCAGTTGGTTTTGCACTGTTTAGAACAATGGGAAATATGACGTTAAATAAATACACTACCCATCACATTCCCAGTATCATCTCACCATGAACAATGTAAAGGAGAATAAATATCCAACAGGAAAACATAAGTTGGGGTGTTGTGCTGACTGACTGCTCTGTTCTCCTATTGGCTGATATTTTGCGGATTTACATTTTAGTCCACCAATCACAGTTAAGTAAAGGATTGCTGGAAGTTTGCAATATGTACGACACCATGACCAAGCAAGCTATAGGGCTCCTGGAGGGGCGCCTCCCCCGCCCCTGGGAGGGCCCTTGAGACCGCCTCTGCCCCTGCGAGGGCCCATGGGGTCTCTACCGCACCTGAGAAGGCCCCTAGGAGAGCCCCTGGGATCGCCGTCACCCCTGAGAGGGCCCCTGAGAGCACCGTCGGCCCTTGGAGGGTCGCTCTGTCCGCCGTCACCCCTGGGTGGGCTCCTTTGGACGCCGACACACCTGGGAGGGTCCCTCAGGTTACCGACACCCCTGGGAGGGCACTAGAGGGTATTGTCCCCTTAGAGTCCCTGGGGGCAGTCGTTTCTGCACTATTTAGAACAATGGGAGATATGACGTTAAATAGATACACTGCCCATTACATTTCCAGTATCATCTTAACATGAACAATGTAAAGGAGAATAAATATCCAACAGGAAAACATAAGTTGGGGTGTTGTGCTGACTGACTGCTCTGTTCTCCTATTGGCTGTTGGTTGGCGGGTTTTTATTTTAGTCCACCAATCACAGTTAAGTAAAGAATTGCTGGAAGTATGCAATATGTATTTCACCATGACCAAGCAAGGTATAGGGCTCCTGGAGGGGCGCCTCCCCTGCCCCTGGGAGGGGCCTTAAGACCGCCTCTGCCCCTGCGAGGGCCCATGAGGTCTCTACCGCACCTGAGAGGGCCCCTAGGAGAGCCCCTGGGATCGCCGTCACCCCTGAGAGGGTCCCTGAGAGCACCGCCGGCACTTGGAGGGTCGCTCGGTCCGCCGTCACGCCTGGGTGGGCTCCTTTGGACGCCGACACACCTGGGAGGGTCCCTCAGGTTACCGACACCCCTGGGAGGGCCCTAGGGGGTATTGTCCCCTTAGAGTCCCTGGGGGCAGTCGTTTCTGCACTATTTTGAACAATGGGAGATATGACGTTAAATAGATACACTGCCCATTACATTTCCAGTATCATCTTAACATGAACAATGTAAAGGAGAATAAATATCCAACAGGAAAACATAAGTTGGGGTGTTGTGCTGACTGACTGCTCTGTTCTCCTATTGGCTGTTGGTTGGCGGGTTTTTATTTTAGTCCACCAATCACAGTTAAGTAAAGAATTGCTGGAAGTATGCAATATGTATTTCACCATGACCAAGCAAGGTATAGGGCTCCTGGAGGGGCGCCTCCCCTGCCCCTGGGAGGGGCCTTAAGACCGCCTCTGCCCCTGCGAGGGCCCATGAGGTCTCTACCGCACCTGAGAGGGCCCCTAGGAGAGCCCCTGGGATCGCCGTCACCCCTGAGAGGGTCCCTGAGAGCACCGCCGGCACTTGGAGGGTCGCTCGGTCCGCCGTCACGCCTGGGTGGGCTCCTTTGAACGCCGACACACCTGGGAGGGTCCCTCAGGTTACCGACACCCCTGGGAGGGCCCTAGGGGGTATTGTCCCCTTAGAGTCCTTGGGGGCAGTCGTTTCTGCACTATTTAGAACAATGGGAGATATGACGTTAAATAAATACACTGCCCATTACATTTCCAGTATCATCTTAACATGAACAATGTAAAGGAGAATAAATATCCAACAGGAAAACATAAGTTGGGGTGTTGTGCTGACTGACTGCTCTGTTCTCCTATTGGCTGTTGGTTGGCCGATTTTTATTTTAGTTCACCAATCACAGTTAAGTAAAGAATTGCTGGAAGTATGCAATAGGTACGACTCCACGACCAAGCAAGCTATAGGGCTTCTAGAGGGGCGCCTCTGGTAGGGCCCCTGGAGGCTCACCTGCTAATGGGAGGGCCCTTGAGACCGCCGCTGCCCCTGTGAGAGCCTTTGGGGTCTCAGCCGCACCTGAAAAGGCCCCTAGGAGAGCCCCTGGGATCGCCGTCACCCCTGAGAGGGCCCCTGAGAGCACCATCGCAACTGGGAGGGCCGCTGGGTCCGCCGCCGCCCCTGGGTGGGGTCCTATTGACGCCGACACCCCTGGGTGGGCCCCAGGGGGCATTGTCCCTATAGAGTCACTGGGAGCAGTTGGTTTTGCACTGTTTAGAACAATGGGAAATATGACGTTAAATAAATACACTACCCATCACATTCCCAGTATCATCTCACCATGAACAATGTAAAGGAGAATAAATATCCAACAGGAAAACATAAGTTGGGGTGTTGTGCTGACTGACTGCTCTGTTCTCCTATTGGCTGATATCTTGCGGATTTACATTTTAGTCCACCAATCACAGTTAAGTAAAGGATTGCTGGAAGTATGCAATATGAACGACACCATGACCAAGCAAGCTATAGGGCTCCTGGAGGGGCGCCTCCCCTGCCCCTGGGACGGCCCTTGAGACCGCCTCTGCCCCTGCGAGGGCCCATGGGGTCTCTACCGCACCTGAGAGGGCCCCTAGGAGAGCCCCTGGGATCGCCGTCACCCCTGAGAGGGCCCCTGAGAGCACCGCCGGCCCTTGGAGGGTCGCTCTGTCCGCCGTCACCCCTGGGTGGGCTCCTTTGGACGCCGACACAACTGGGAGGGTCCCTCAGGTTACCGACACCCCTGGGAGGGCCCTAGAGAGTATTGTCCCCTTAGAGTCCCTGGGGGTAGTCGTTTCTGCACTATTTAGAACAATGGGAGATATGACGTTAAATAGATACACTGCCCATTACATTTCCAGTATCATCTTAACATGAACAATGTAAAGGAGAATAAATATCCAACAGGAAAACATAAGTTGGGGTGTTGTGCTGACTGACTGCTCTGTTCTCCTATTGGCTGTTGGTTGGCGGGTTTTTATTTTAGTCCACCAATCACAGTTAAGTAAAGAATTGCTGGAAGTATGCAATATGTATTTCACCATGACCAAGCAAGGTATAGGGCTCCTGGAGGGGCGCCTCCCCTGCCCCTGGGAGGGGCCTTAAGACCGCCTCTGCCCCTGCGAGGGCCCATGAGGTCTCTACCGCACTTGAGAGGGCCCCTAGGAGAGCCCCTGGGATCGCCGTC